GGTTACTTCCATTCTATGCTACCTTATAACTACTCCATTACATTCATTTGACAATTACAGTTTAGCAGGTTAAGATTTTACATAGAAAACCCATCATGATCTTCTAAAATATGATGGCTTGTTATTGATTAAGCTAATAAATAAAGTAGTTTATAGGTCAAGGGTCAATGTCAACCACCATTAAAATGTGGCTCACAAAGTAACACTGTACTGTCTACATTAGAGGTAAGTATAACAATCAAAATTTGGCTGGTTTCCTGCATAATACTGGAGGCTTTTATCTTTTCATGGGTCTGTAAATCTTTCAAATGAGTCAATTTATAAAATAGAAATGACTCTTGGACTGCTTATAACTCAAGTCCACACTAAGCATAACCTGTGATGAGGGGTTGCAAGTTGACATGAATTAGTTTTAAGGGGTCACAAGACAAAAACGTTGGGAACCACTGAAATATTTAATGATCAAACAAGAGTCATTCTTCTGCATAAGGTGTACTATTATGCATTACTTGTACTTGTGATAATATATGTTCACATTGCAGTACTTCTTCTTTTATTTTAGCAAAGAATCTGAATATTGGACATTTGAAGTCTGGTCTCAGCCCTCTAATGCATCAGCCTTGTTAAGGTTCACATGTTCTTTCACATGTCTATTTTGAAAAAGTAAGTAAAACTGAGGAATAACAGATGTACATGGTAGCTGTGGCCAAATATCAAATTCTTCAACTTAAAGAATCTCCCATGCCCTCTCTGGCAAAAATTTCTTACTGTTGTAGGTGAGCCGTGTTTTGCTGAAACACATGAGCAGGTGCTTCTCTATTTCATCCGAAGCCATAAACTTGGAGCAAACAGGACAGTGGAAGCCTGAGGGGAAAACACAAATTCAAGAACATGAGGACCCCGATGTGCCAACGTCTCCCTCATAGTTTTTTGTTGATATGTACACAAGAGAGGACGTGGGACCGTTTGCATAATCTTGATCTTACAAAGTGTTACGTGACCTAACACGTTACAATCTGCTTACCTAAACATACAATCTATAGGTGTCATTGCACGTTACAAACTAACTGTAAACACATCCTTAAGCTGCGATGCTTCAAAATGTAAAGCACTGTATGTATGAATTACATAAATCAGTCATGAGTTTATTAATTAATATCATCATCATAATCATAGTTTGACCCACATACACATGGCCTCCGGACCCCGTGCATCTTCCCAGCTGCACAAAGATTAATGGGCAGGTGCTGCTTGACCTGAGATAAGCTAACCTCCTGTTTAATATTATAACACCTCAGTCAAGAAAAAATTAATTAAATATGCAGTCAGTAAACTCTGTGTCTGGTGTGAATCTCGTGTTTGCGTATTGTGTTTGTATAGGAGGTGAGGAAACCGGGTATGCCTGTGGACACATTGTCAGGTCTGCAGGGTCACAATCACATGGATCTGAAGAGCAAAGGTTATTGATGATTACACTTCCTCATCAGGGTAATTACCTCTTCTGGTAATTAGAAGGAAGGGGGACCAAAATTCTGCCTTATTTTTATTGACCACGTTATGAAATATGAGTGACATGGATATTAGAGCATTGTCCTGTGATATTAGTTCAAATCCTGTTTTGTTGTAGTCTTCTCTGGAGAGTTGCAAAGCAGCTTGACTTGCAGATTCAGGAAGTTTGTGTGAGCACACGCGTGTGTGTCTGTGTATATCAGGCAATGTGTAACCAGCAGGAAGCTCTTATCTGCTGACCTACATAATGCACTCTTCCCTCTCAGCCAGAGCGAAAAACAAGCCAGTTTTGCAAGACAGAGAAAAGAAGACAGACCACAGTTCACTATAGTGGAGCCACCTGGGGCTAGAAAAAAAGCACAGAGGTGCTAACAAAGGCCTCAGCCATGGCATTGCTATCACCATACCAGGTATCATATATCAAATGGAAAAATACTAAGTAACTGTAATGTATATAACTTATGATATCTTGCAGGAGTATTATAAACATATGGTATCAACATGTTGACGCTAAACTCAATATGACTGGATATGTAAATAAAAACAACAATTTACTAAACCTTGGCCACATTATCTGGGCTTGTCTTCATATAACAATGCATAGATGTATGTTTAAATGATGGTTATGGTTGTACTTTATCAATCCCTGATCTCTGCCTTAAAAAAGGTAAAAACAAACAACGCTCCCAAAGACTATTAAACATTATTGTAAAATAAATGAATACAATAAAATAAATATCAAGTTCCCCCCATGTGCAAATATTTTAGACTGGATTTAGATTTGGTCCCCCTCATAATTGACTCCATGACTACTGTAAAGATAGATTAAAACTGCATAATGCGCCATTATCTCTGTATTTACTGCAAACAAGTAAGTGTCATAAAGGCCCTGCGTGATTACATATTACTCGTATGACAGCCGTCCTTCCAGATGTTTTATGGAGTGACTGTTATGAACCCATGCGCACCAATCTTACCTCCCAACAGGTGAGGGGACAGGTGGGCCGGTAGAGACCCTATAAGCAACCTGTGGCCATCAGGAGGTAGCTGGTTCTCGTCGTCACCATCGAGGCTCTGATTGAGTACGTGCGATCCTGACCTGCCGCCGGCCGGTATACTGAGCCCGGAGCTCGCTGGCCCTCCACCTGTGTACCGGATCCTGGGGCCATCTGGTCCATTGGTGTACCTAAACCCCGCTATCCTTTCCCCTCGGCTGGGGTTTCCAGATGGGAGATCGGAGCTGGAATAAGCCCGAGTTCTGCCATCAAATACTGGGCTGCTCTGTTTGGCCCCCATGGTGTTTTAGGATTACCTCCTCAGGTTTTGTGTGCGCTTTAAAGTTTTTAGCCACGACACATGTTTACAGTGAGTTCTGAAGAAGTGTCACCAACGAAGGAAATTAAGCCTAACACATGAACAACAACAAAGGCGAGGTCATCCAACATGTTAAAGTTTCGCGGTGCTCCCAGTGCGTAAACTGCGCACTCACTGACTCATAACTTAATTTCCAAACGGTCACTTTTTTTACTTGATGGAGCCCTTCCCTTTTTTCAACAATGGAAAATAAAAAGATCAAATCTCTTCAGTTAAAAGGCTTCAGTTCCTCCACTTCAGGCAAGGACATTAGCGCTGAGTGTTGACCCACTACCCAGTCGGTCCAAGTTTGTTTTTGTGCTCAACTGTGGCCGTCAGGAAAGAAAAATAAAAGCACGGATTGCCCTCCTCCCTCTGTGAAGCTGCTCCGTCAAACTCTCCAAAGTTCAGCAGGATAAGATCAATTCGCCTTCAAAGTAAAAGCGATGAACACACTACTTCTGGAAAAAAATGTGACGACAAAGTGTTGAAGTTTGACTGTAGACTGTAGAATTATTTTCCAGGGAAACCGTTCTTTTTGTTTGCCATTGTAACTGTTGCTCTACCATGCAAAGTCTTCTGCAGCCACAGCAGTGGTGGAAAGTAATTAAGTGACTGTACTCATGTACTGTAGCCTATTAAATTGCACAGAGAGTGGTTCATAATAATTTATGTTTTACAGCTAATGCTGTTGGTTACTTTCCATATTATTACAAGATCAGTTATGAAATATGATGTTATAAATTATATTACCCCAAATTATATTGAAGCATTTGAAATTATCTCCAACATGACGAACTACAACATAAAGTACCACTTACCAACAATAATGATCTGATAATCAGTGGTGTTGGAAGTAGATCGTTTACTTAATAAAAGTACTAAAACTTCACTGTCAAATCTCTCTCTGTTAAGTCCTTCATTGAAAATGTTTCTTAAGTGAAAATATGTAACATAAAGCACAAAGTGACACTGTCACAATGTTTGTTTGTTTTGTCCAACTAACTTGAGGTTTGACTCAAATTTATTTTAAAATAAATTTAAATTATTATAATAATTCACACAATAATTACTTATATATGTGTCAAAATAGTTGCCAAAAAAGTTTCCTGCAACTGACTGATTGTTTCAGCTGCAGGCCTACTGTTAGTTTAATTTATAACAAAGCATCATATATTATAAGCACATATGTTTTGTATGCAAAAATCTTAAATTTGTAAAGTAACTAGTAACTGAAGCTGTCAAACTTAAGTAAAGTATCTAAAATCTGTGCTTAAGAAGCCTACACTTGAGTAAATGTACTTAGTTACATTACATCACTGCTGATAATTTAATGATATAACACAGTACTGTACTGAGTACTGATACATTTTTGGCTGATTATTTGTTTGAAATAACCAGATTGAGCTGCATTTAATTAATGAATCGTGTTACACAAGTAAAGTTATTTTTATTGTCATATTATTCCCTATGAATTGAATTATTCTGCACCAAAGGTTTATGTGCTTGGGTGTTAATGATCAGTGTTATTTCCTTAGATGACTGTAGGTTAAATGTAACGCTCATTGGTTGAAAGTTGATGTGTGTTGAGAGTCAGTTCACTCACAAAGGTATTGTGATTGTCAGGCAATTCACAATGACTTCAACCACCATTGCAGAGTATGTGTAGGTCTATATTTGCATTTGTAGGCTATGCGTGTGTTTTAAAGATCCACTGTAAACTACAGGTTTAATGTTCCAAATGGATACAGTTTGATATTCCAGTAATTGTAGTTCAACGAGTAAAGGCCTCTCTTGGATGAGAGGCGAAACGTCTTTGAGTATCTTCAACCAAGTGTTTCCCTTGATTTTAACCCGCCTTGGAAAACTATGACCTGAAAGACTGATAATCTTCAGATCACTTTTGCGCTTTTATTTTGAAGGCCACATCATAGCTTCCTGTCTGTGGTCTCCAGCCTGACGCAGCTTTGAGTGAGCGGTCATGTGGCGCGTGACGTCAACCCCAGTAACACCAGCGGGCTGTTGGCACAGCAGTAGCAGGTCACCAGTCCACTCAGTGAAATCAAAAGCCCTCCATGTTGAAGGCACTGTTCCATTAACTTCAGGCCATTAAGAAAAAAAGAAATACTCCCGGGGGACACGCTGTTCACACGGTTTATTGAACAATTTCACACACATCGGAGGACAAACAGAAGATACACATTCAAAGAGGCAATAAAAAGACAAACATTTACAAGCCAAAGTAAACAAGCTAAAGGTGAACCTCTGAAACAGTCTTGCACGTGGATCGAGTGGTTGAAGGCGGCGGGGGCCTGAAGCGTTGCAGTGCGCTGGATGTGACATACAACAACACACTTGTGAGATTAGAGAGAACAGGGAAGGCAGAGGGCCGGCGGCTGTCAACAAATATTTTCTCTTCCCTGTGATATCACTCAGGGATTTGGGTGTGCACTTTTTAAATTTATGTTTAAGAGAAACGTTGAAAGAAGCTGATAAACTCAAAACAACACACGCAAAACAGGTTTTGGCTAGCTTTAGGAAGGTATCTCATCAGGTTGTGCTGAGAAAGGAGGGCAAATTGTGAACCACCAACAACCAGGAAGGAAGACTACAGGGCAAAACTAGGGTGTCATGTGACAATGAGACACCCAAACCAAGAAGGGCTTAAGCTGCAGCGTGGGCCTTTGTTGTGTTGGTCATATGATAGTAACATTGATTAAAAACGTCCTCATAAAGTGACTTTAAACTCCTTTGAGGTGTACTGCCTTGGAAACATTAAGAGACACACCTCAAGAGATGATCCATGCTACTGTGAAGCTGCACACTTTGATTTCCACATGAGGAGCCAACGTGTAAAATGCTTTTTGACTGAAACCTATTAGACTACTTTAACTGTGTGTTTAAAACAGGATAGGTTGAGAGCTATCCCACCTGAATCTACATCACAAATATTCATCCTCCCTTCCCTCCATGAAGTGGAAAATTATACTGCTTTTCCCTCCTCCCTCCCTCCCTCCTGCTCTTTATCTGCGTCACTCCAGTTGCCTCACACAACCACAAACCGTCAGTTTTCACCCATTCATCTTTCATCTAGCTCTCGTGTATCCTCTGTGTCAACAGACAGGCAGAGAAATTAGGTTATCTGTCACATTCATCTCCAAACCAACGGGGGAAATGTGTGTATTGCGGTAACATCTGACTGTATTTCTGCATAACAAAGCCAGCTGAGGCCGATGTAATATTGCTGTGCTGTGGAACTTTAACTAACCAGATGGTGAATGATTATGATACTTGCATTGTACATGGCTACGGCTCACGTAGCCCCAATGTGTGTGTGTGTGTGTGTGTGTGTTTATGCGTGCGTGTGTGTTTAGTTGGTTGGGGTTCAACAGTGCAACAGAGTGCACTCTTTGGGAAGCAAAGCCACTGAGACATTCAAGAACATGGTGGTGCATTTTTAGCAAGTTGACTGTAAGTATGTGTGCGTGTGTGTGTGTGTGTGTTTGGATAAGAGTGTGTTGTGTTTGGGCGGATGAGTTGAGGCCGAGAGCTTCAGAGCAGCTCTGCCCCAACTGCAGGCTCATCACTGCTGGCTGACCCCCATCTGCTGGTGGTCGGGCCCTGGTTCTCCCTCCATGTCAGCGTGGTAATGCTCAAAACTGTCGTCCTCTATGTCTGGAAGACCCAGCAGCTGACAGGGGTAGAAAGAGAAGGTTGTAACATTAAGAAGTGTGTAAACTGCACCAACACATTTTACTTCTGTTAATGATGCCTTGTTTATCTGCAAACAAATATTCAGGATCAGGCGGTCTCAGCTTTCTTGCTGAGAGTTACTGTAATCAGTTAGCTTAGCTTAGCTTAGCACAAAGACTGAAACAGCTAGCCTGCCTCTAGACAACGTTAACTAACTTCGCTCACCTGCACCCCTAAAGCTAGGCATTGTTCAAGAAACTAGCAATAGACAACTAGATTTTGAAAGTATCCAACTGAAAAACTCCCACCCCTCCCTTCAGGCCTCCCTCCAAAGCCACTGCCCCAAAACACATCTCCATGCGCAGTGAGTTCACGGGCAGAGTGCGCGCAGCTGGGCAGACAGTTAGACCAGCCAGTTGGCTGTGCTAATTACAGTTATGCGATAGCCACAGATACCGGATTTCTCTCATTGTTGTGTCAGATCATTTGAAGGGCACCCAGAGGGCACTTCATCACATTGTTTGCACATAGGGGCACCTTGGAGGGCACTTTACAACAATTACTCACACAAAGGGACACTGTATAGTGCACAGCATCACAATTGTTCTATTGAAAGGGCACCCGTTCGGGGCACTGCATCACATTTTCTTGCATACTGGGCACTTTTGCTGTTTTTTTTTAGGGCTGGGCAAGTTAACACGTTAGTATCGATTAACGCATTAATTAATTAATGCTGACAATTATTTTATCTCATGTTAAGGTAGTTTTTATTATTTTGAAAGTCCGTTTCTCTGCTCTGAATACACATACAGTCAAACCCTGGGTCACAGGAGGGGTGGGATGTTGATCAGCCTGCAAACCACCCACCCAAACAAGCAGTGGAGGGAGGCTTCAGGAGACTACGTTGGATGCAGCGTTTGGGAGAAGAAGATAAACAAAAGCATGACAAGCGAACAATTAAATGCCATAGCGTTTAGTGGATAGCTACACACTGCACCCTGATTAGTATTGGGGAAGATGTCAATCTTAGGAACATTCATAAAATCACAACGTAGCCGCTTTTCCACGCTGGGTTGCTCTTTGATAAACGGCAGGCGCTCTATGGATAGTAAACATGGCAATGGCTTGTGTGCGCTACACAGCTATAGCCTATTTAATTTTAGTTAAAATTTACAGAACTTTACCGGATAGGCCTACATCTAGTTTTGCAGGGATACTCTGCCATACGAATTCCCTCCTGTTGATGTCCTATTTAGTAAACAGTAATAGATTCTGGAAACTCACAAACAGCGAGGATCAGTCTCTCTTCCAATGATTTGTGCTGCACGTCGCGTACAAAAAGTTCAAGACACTTCAACTACAGCAGCGTGAGGCGAGCACAGCCGCAACAGTTTCACAGGAACGCGCCATAACAATGCGATTAATCACAGAAAATCATGCGATTAATCGTGATTAAAAATTTTAATCGTTGGTCAACACCATTTTTTTCTTACATAGGGGAACAGCAAGTCCACCACTGGTGAAGTAGCTATTGATTAAACATGTTTTGTCTGCACCAAACAGATCAGGGTTGTAAGACCCAGACAGTAAGCAGAGGTCACTGTGCTGTGGTTGCAGTTAATCAAAAAGTAAACTGTGGCTCCCAAAAGTGTCACTTTTGTGTTCTTACAGGCCTGAAGGATGTGAAGACTTTCTCCAGGACCTCCAACAGAGTCTTCTTCCCGCAGGAGGAGATGTAGTCCTGGGCCAGCTGTAGGAAGGGAAGGCAGTCCTCACTCTCGCTCCACACATGCTACGGACACAAATAAGCAAATATTAGATATGCATGCAAGCAGGCACCATTTCAAACCAGAAATAATGAAAACATTGCATAGACTATTAATAGGGTGAACAATTTGTGTTAAGACAATAAACTTCATTGGAAAAAAGCTTAAAGTTTCTAAAGGGTAAACTTTTTTTTTTTTTTTTACAGTGTAGCCTCGTGTGGGCTGTTTAGTGACAAACAACTTACAGGAATTAACAAGTAAATAAGTAAAGCTGGGTCAGGGGCAATGCAGCACAGAAAAACTAGAACAAAGCAATTAAACCAGATAAAGGAGACATTTCTTCAAGGGCACAACAGACAAAGGAGGGAAAATAACACAGACAGCCGTACAATATGTGGTACAGTACAATATGAGTTACGGTTCTTCATTAGCCTCAAGAAAAGTGATGCATTATACTGAGTTGTGGGTTGGCATACATGTTTACTTCTTTATTAGCACCATCTCACCACTGTAGTGTAAGTAGGAATGTACCATATATATATATATAAAATCCCCCTTGCGGGGTGGTATGTGTCATCCTCAAGCTCGGGTCCTCTACCAGAGGCCTGGGAGTTTGAGGGTTCTGCACAGTTTAAAACCTGAGTTTAAACTATAAACTTGAAACTATATATATATATATACGTAAGCATACGTATCATAAAACCTGAGTTTAAACTCTCTCAGTTTGGGTTTAAAGTCTTCCGTTATTGATGTTAACGTGTTTATGGCCAATAAAACAATATTAAGTAACTGTAAATTGTATTTCCTTGATATCAGCTGTAAGCGTTCTTGTCAGATTAGTGCAAGTTGTCGACTCCCTCAAAGCTCTTAATTGTTAGATAAACACTGCTTGGGATAGGGCATAGGAGCAGTTCCCCTTCACTTACTGTTAGTGTTGGTTAATTGGAGTCGAAAGTCCGTACTTCTAGGTTACGTATTAGGTCATGCTATTAGGCAGTTGCAGTAAAGGTTTGGGTTATACAAAATTTAAGACTATGATTTTTTAAATTATTTTAATTTTAGGATTTCATCAGGGATTATTGGGATTTCAATTTACATAGAACTCTGAAATTTTAAGGGATTTATATTTCTTAACAGTATTCAGGTATTTGTGTCACCTCAAATTTAATTTGTAAATGAATGGATTGTAAAATATTAATTTATTTTTAAATTGAATATATGCAAATTTTACCCAGTTTTTAGGGGTTAAACCCCATAACACTGACCATAAAACCACAAAAAACATCCCTTAATTTACACCTTAAAAGGGTCTTCTAAAAAGTCAGGGGTTAATACCAAGCATGGCAAATAACTGGCTTGTTATAAGGTCATTTTAATATGCACAATTTACTTATTTTAAATGGTTAAAACAAAACATTTAAAGTTGACATAATGTCATGAAAACCATCAATGAGTTTGCCCTAATAAAAATGCCTTAATATATTACAATCTATTAATTCATCCATTAATTATCCCCTTAAAAATCCCATTAAGAGCACCTTAATTTCATCATCATTAGTGGGTGAATTAATTCAATTTTAAGGTAAAAAATGAAGGGACTTTGTTTCATAATGCCTAGTGGTATGGACACACTTTTGTGTGAGAGTTGTAAGAGTCAGGTGAGAGTTATGGCAATCTGCCCGGGGCCATGTTTTTCCAGCGCAGACAAAGCTAATATTGAGCCCTCCTGAGGGACGGTTCTTCTAGTTTGGCTGCTTGAATGGACTCTCACATGACGGTGTGTCTCTGCCCCACTGATAAAACCCAATCTTTCAGAGCATCTCACAAAGAAAATCCAATCACTCTTGTTTGTCAGCTGTTCCTGTATCACATGACTTGGGAGAAAGACAACAAAGATGTACCTTAAGGGAAATTATGCAGCTGCACTGTTATGATGGAACTGATCTCACAGCGCCCTCTAGTGAAAGGACAGGGCAATGATACACAGTTTTGAGGGATAATTACAGTAAAATAAGCTGAGGAAATGACTGCCTGTGTGCGTGTGTGTGTGTGTGTTTGTGTGTGTGTGTGTGTGTGTGTGTGTGTGTGCGTGTGTGTGTGTGTGTGTTTGTTTGTGTGTGTGTGTGTGTGTGTGTGTGTGCGTGTGCGAGCCAGAGTCAGAGAGATAGAGACAGTATGTGAGACACCCTGCTGATAGCGCTATTGATCGAGCAAGAGTAACTAGATCTCAAGAGTCCTGCAGAGAGAAAGAGTTATTCTAGCTGCTTTGAGAACAGACAGCAGAGAGCTGTGTGTGTGCGTGTGTGTCTGTGTGTGTGTGTGTGTGTGTGTGTGTGTGTCCGTCCATGAGTGTTAGGGATGTAGCAGTTGACATGCATTAGATTCAAAAGCAGGAGAAAAACTGAGGCCTGTGAGGGAAACAAAAGAAAGGAAGATTGAAGTTACCGTAGAAAGAAAACTAACTACATGATGTATTTATGTACCTGCAACCCTCTGCTATGTTTTTTTCTCTGTAATGATATACCATAAAATGGTTCGATCATGCAGGAGCTGGTTTTATATGTATCTATTACAGCAGCCATGGCAAGCCCTTGCTTAAGCAGGCCAGGCCTGCAAACACATAACACAGGCACGGTTGGTGTGACATAATGTGTTATTGACTGAACAGACGCCCTGGCTCCTGGGTCATCTCCATCTGGTCCCTGCCCTGTTAGCCCCTGTCACTGAGCAGGAGGAGGGAGCATGGCGCGTCTGGTCTCAGGAGCACCACCACTGCACCACACTGCTATAGGATATAGAGAGTGAGTTGTGTCAAGACCATCTGTAAATGATCAGAGTAGTGCTACCACTAAAGACACTGACCTCATATCCTCCATATTGTTTCTGGATTTTAACAACTTAAGGAGTTTATGTTCAACTGTTAGAAACGCATTAAACATGGCGTTGTTTCAGGGCTTACTCAGATATGCTTATGGCCTTTAAATGTGGCTGTTTTAGGGAAAACAAATGAAATAAAAATAAAATGAAGGGATATTCCTTTACCATTACAGTGTGGACAATTAAAAAAAACAACTAATTTAGTCATCATGTAGGGATATGAAATTAACAGAAATGTATAAGATAACATGTAAAGTTAAAATAAATCGCACAGCATCAAATATTTACATTTTCAGATTCTATTTGTGTCAATGCAAACTTTACTTTTTGAGAGTCAGGTATCTCTGGGTTTTCACGGGTAGTTTGGCCTGAACTGGAAAACTGGCAATAAGTCCTTAAAAATAAAGATGTGAAAATGTGTCCCTTGTTAATTATTAACGGTGTGTCTGCAGAACATCAACTTCTCCAATAAAATAAGTCAGTGGATTAACTATTGAGAGTTATCTGCACAGAAATCGGAGTTTGGCAGCAAGCATTGGCCTTCATTGCTACAAAAACAAAATAACGTACAGGCCTAATGAAAATACCATTTTAGAATAAAAGCAGTTAATTTGCTACCTATATCTCCACTGATAAAGCTGTTTCGTCATTTGGATTTAATACTTTGTGTTCCGACTGCAACATGCTGGTCAGTGGGGCTTTTATTTTGAAAGTTACAGGCCTTATGTTTTTCTATTCTGGCTAGCATGGTGGTGTTGGTCCAGAGGGTTATCGCAGTTGATTATGGTGGAGAAAAAACACCATCGACAAAAGGAGTGGGAGGGTGTGGGGTGTCCACCCGAACTGAAATGACATCATCCCCTCCATTCTTCGCCCAAAGCCCCCCTCCCCTCCTCTCCTGTGTCCATCAGCTGGAAAACCGGGACCAACCGGGACAACCCCACCTCCAGCCCACCCTCGACACACCTACAGGAACACGCACACGCACACACACACACACACACGCAGAGCTTGAGGCCCTGCAGAGGCTCACTTACGAAATTGTCGGTGCCACTGGGACACAGCACGTAGAAGGAGACGCCGGGCTCTGCGTAAAAGTCCAGCCGCCTCTCGTCGTCCTCCTCGGCGAAGATGAGGTCGAAAGGGTTACCGGAGCACCACTTCTCCGCCGCCTCCACCAGATGCTTAAACTCCATCCTCTGTTACCCGGTCTGCGGTGTCCCTGGCTCCGGAGCTTTATCTCGATCTTTCTGGCCGTCACGGTGATGATGCTCAAGACACAAAAAACAGCTGATCGAACAGCAGCATCAGCAGCCTCCACTACCGCATCTCTAGTGCACTGTCTGCATGGCCCGGGAATAGAGATAACACTGTTGGTGCATAGAGCCTAACGGGTCTGGGGCTCATCCGTTCTCAACGCTCCATTCCTGTCTTCCTCCCCACGTTATGAAATCAGCCCGTCGGCCGCATACATGCATACGCAGGAGGACGCTGGGAAAAACGCGATGACGAACAGCGATGCCGGGCAGCCGTCCATATCTGAGGCGCTGTATAGGCCAACTCCCAAAACAAAATTACTGTATAATATGAACTTGCTGACATCATGCAGAAATTAATACTTATGGAAATGAGACATCATGCAATATAGAAACTGCTGTATAAATATTTGACAGACATATACAGTAGGCTTTATGTGGTAGGCGACATGGAGAAAAGACTATCATCATGAAATAATAAATTCAGGCCAATATACTGCCGCGAAATATGTTTGTATACGCCTAAGTCACTGCCAAAGGAGTAAATGTAATGTAATGTGGTGAAGGATCGGTTCACGCAAACACATAAACATAAAAACATATTTTACATTTTATTTTTCAAGGGCTAATTGTAGCATCATTGGGCAGTGCTGGCTTTACTTTCTGTCAAAGGCCAATAAGGATATCACATAAAAAAATATAATAAGAACATTATTATTATTATTTGTAGTATATTGTTGTTGTTAATTAATAATATTGATATTAATATTACGACAATAATAATGATTGAAATATTCATATCATCACACATCTTCACATAGGGGCTCTGAAAAACTCCTTTACGGACCTCGTGCCGATGCCGTATTGGGAACCACTGGTGTACATAACACTCCACCAGTGTTGACAGGAATTCCTTTTGCTGCCATTATCATACCTCCAGTTTGACCCCTCCCTGCTCCCAGGAGTCCTCTCCACTAGAGGGCGAGTGAAACCATCTCACAATCGCATGCTGGATCTGTGTCAAGCTGACGAGTAGTTTCAAGAAGACCGGAAAGTGCGAGCGTTTGTCGAAATAAAAGTGTAATTTGTTTTCCCTCCATTTAAGCTAAAGTAGCAGTAGTTGTTGCAGTACCAGAAAACAACTAATCACAAGGTTAAGTTAAGAGCGATAGGCTTTTATTCAATTATATTAATATGTACTGGGCAGCTTCCAGATGTTACTCTGTGTGTGTGCGATCAGGGCGTTCCTGCAAAAGAGAGACTGTCTCTCAGTGATCACTTTCTAAATAAATAAAGGTATTATAATTAATATATTTTAACGAAAAGAAATCAAGGATCACTTAAAATCAGGTTTGGGATAGCCTAAGTTAAATGGAAGACAGGCAACAAAAATAAGTAAGATGATGATAAGACAAGTATTCTTTATTTGACAAGGTTGTTTGATGTAGTATAAACTATTTTAGACATCAATTTCTAACCTGCCCACATTTTACCTTAAAAGCCAACTGCCACGCTAAATGAGATTTTATTTTGAAACCCCAAACCAGAAGTAGTCCTACTGATCATTATAGTTAGTTTCTTTTCCACAGTTGGTCTGCTGGCGATCCCTGAGGTTGTTATCCTCTACAGTGCTCCCAGACGCGCTGCTGTGTAGACAGCGGACTCCTTTTAAACGCACTGAAACCTTTAAAAGCCTAAAACATGCAATTTTCACAGTGTAAAGGTTAGTGTGGGCAGATCACTGCTGGACACCCTTGCTGTCCAGTACCCCGGGGTCGCGCTTTGTTTGCAGTGGAGACCCTCGTTTTCTTTTGCCAAAAATCTCCAGATATAGGCTATTGAAAATGGATCCTTTACAAAATGGGAATAATTGTGAGGAGGACTGTGCTGAGGAGGAAGAAGAAGTGGATCCAAGAATCCAGGTTAGATTTTTGTTTGTTTAAATAGATCCAGATGTGGAGGTGAAAGTGACATTGAGATGAAAACGTGGAACCCAGTGAAAAGAACTGTGTGGGATAAAAATATTGATAATATAGTTAGCCAGTAAAAGCCAGTAAAATTTCAAACATTACCACTTTATTCTATTACTATTATATTGTAGCAATTGCAGTTTCACTTAAAATTATTAAGTGTTAACTGAATGTGTCAACTGTGCTTTGTAGTCATGCAATGCAATGTTTGAAGGTGTTCATAAATAGATTTAATATTTGTCCCTTTAATGCTTTGTTAGTAAACACACGCACACACACACACACACACACACACACACACTGCATGCTCAGTAATTTGGGAAACACAAGTTACACAGTTTAGCCTCCAGACACACAATCTGTTTAACTATACTCTCTCGCTCTCTCTCTCTCTTTGCTGTTCCATGCATGCCATGTTTTCTGTACACAGGGAGAGCTGGAGAAGTTAAATCAGTCCACAGATGACATTAACCGCTGGGAGAGCGAGCTGGAGGTAAGACGAAACACCAACCACCAACATCGTTATCATCAGCGTTACAGTCTCTCCCTGCAGGGCCATGGCTCAGTTGCACTGCCAATCACCCATCTCAAGGAGCAATCAAGTTTCACATTCAGACTTAAAATCTTATGTTTTGCTCTAAACAAGTGAGAAATCGTGTCCGTGCTGTGAGATAATTCATCTTGTTCCCACTGTGCTTTGGAATGTGAGGCCACTGCATAGAGACAGTTCACATGGAATGTCTTGCGAAGATGGAAATTTTCTAAATGTGGGAGCTGCGTCTGAGGGAAAATGTGAAGCAGCAACTGTCACTCTACAAACTGCACTGTATGATCTGTCAGTGCTGCAAGAGGCAGAACTATGATATGAATGTTAACTATAATATTTGAATGGCACATTTGAAGAAAGCTAAACCTCAAGTGCTCTCCTCGTTTTCCTGCAACTCCCTCAGCATTCCGTAAAAAACAAACCCTTCCAAAGAGGAAAAGGATGTAAAATACAATGAGGAACAGCCGGAAGATGGATGGTAGTTTTGTTTTACGGCACTCACATGGATATAAAAGAATGCCAGAAGGGTTACTGTTCAGCAAAAGTAAAAACATTCCAGAGGCAAGCTGTGGTTTTTCTTTTCCTCAAAGTAGGCCTCTTCTGTTTCTCATTAGACCTTCACTCACGTCTGAACACCACAAACCAGTGCTGGAATAATTACAACAGACAGAGCCGGAGGGAGAGGAGTCCGTATACACGCCTCTCAATGTTGCAACCATTGTTATATATAGCTTCATGATTTCCAGCTAAATACTGGATAATTATTATAGATCACTGCACATTTTCCCACTGCTTTAGCCATATATATTTGGCTATACAGTTGTGTGTCAGTAGAGTAACAGATATAAATACACAGGCATAGGCAAACAGAAAAAGAAAGAAGGCCATTCATCGTGAAGCAGAATGAAAGTCAGGGGCTGAAGAATGTGAAAAGCAGGCTGGACTTGATTAAGGACGATGTGCAGTAGATTCAGAGGATTCAGGAAAAGCTGAGGCAATGAGGTTAAATCCCTGCTCAGAGATGAGGTTCTCTACTCTGCCAACGGAAACCTCTCGTGTGCAGAGATCTAAGATTGTGTGTGGTAGAGCTAAAGAGACAGCAAGGCCAAGAGGGTATGCCATCACTAAGTAACTACAATACTTGACCAAAGGCAAACAGAATATACCTCCCAGACTGTATGCTGTGTCACCATCTCTTTTCAGGTACAGGAAGTCAGGAAATATAATGATGTCATAGGAAGTGCGCTTCCCATAGCGCCCTCTTCCTTTTCCCTCGTTTACCCTCTCTTGCAGTCTCGTCAGTTTTATGAACAGGATGCAGGTGCTGCTGCCTTTCAAACTCCTTTCTGGAAAGGAGAGACACAACTGTACACTGTCACTCACACACACACACACATGCAAACAGATGGCCTGAAGTAGCCCTGCCATAAAGACAAGATGATAACAGACCTAATTTATGAATAACAAGTCTACTGTCACAGTGCCACCTTGGGCTTTATGCCAAAAAGTGCACACACACACACACACACACACAAACACACAGATGTTGCCACTTATGTTATACCAGTTTCAAGATCATGATTTCCCCACCAAAGAATGTATATAAGGTTTGCTCAACCAACAACAACCAATGACAATGCTAACGTGCAGAGGCTTTGCAGGTATGTTAACCATGTTCATCGTCTTAGTTTAGAGGCATGCTCACATTTGCAAATTAGGCTGATGGTGAATGTCATTCATTCAGTGCTGGAAAAAGTAAAAGTTTGACTTGATGATGGCCCTATGTGGAATGTTTGGGTATCACCAAAGTCAGTAGGATTAATCCTCTGGGGACAATGAATGTATGTACAAAGTGACAGTCTGGACCAAGATCGACAGACAGACCGACAAAACCACACTTCTAGCGTGGCTAAAAATTTGTATACCTCCTAATTTCTGACAGCAGTCTCCAGTTTCCACATTCACAACCACTTTAAAATGCAGTATTATGACTGTAAGTTGATTGATACATTTGTGTGTATGTGTGTAGGACTGTCGTCAGCGGTTTCGCGTGGTCCTGGTGGAAGCAACAGTGAAGCTTGACGAGCAGGTGAAGAGGATCGGTCGGGCTGTGGACGACTCCAAACCCTACTGGGAAGCCCGCAAAGTAGCAAGACAGGTACACACACACACACACACACACACACACACACACATATTCACAGAAGAGAGCTGGAGTGACTCTGAGGTCGGTAGACAGAGTGTTTGAGGGCAGGCTTACTGAGGATTAGCAATGAGAAGTTTAAAGAGCTCAGCGTATATCTACTTAAAGGGAGCACAAACACGTGATGTCTATTTTTAAACTCAGTCTTACCTCTGTGTGCTAAGATAGTGTCACACACACACACACACCAGCTCGGTGTGGGCAAGAGGAGTTGTCTGAGTTGCACTGAAACGGCTTGCCTTGTCATATTTTTCATCATCTGTCTACTTGCTTCCTTTGCTGCAACTGAGAGGTTTGTGCGTTTCCATGCTTACTGCACTGTTGCAGGTAGATGCAAAGTAGGGCAACTTCCCCACTGGTTAGTGCACTAAACTGTGTTGTTCCCTCTCCAGAGGGGTCATGTCTTTAACTGTCTAAATGCCCCACCCTGATAAGGCTTTCATTTGATTGGCTAGCACCAGAAATGTAGTGTCCAGAACCCTTCTTCTCAGCCAGTAAGGAAGAAGAGTC